GCAGAATCTACACTTACTCAACTCTGCATACAATTTCTTTTCTCTGATAACCTACAAAATCTAAGTCAGATGGTGAACGTATTTCTCTCTTCTTTTTGAATAGAGCAGGATATCATCGATAAATACAATGACAAATTAATTCAAGAATTGTATGAAAATCCTATTCATCAAATCCATAAAGATAGCTGGTGTGTTGGTTAGTCCGAATGATATGACTAGGAACTCATAGGGTTCGTACCTGGTTCAGAAAGCTATTTTAGGAATGTCTTTTGCCTTAATTTTTACCTGATGGTAACATAAACATAGCTCTATTTTGGAGAATACCTGGGTACCCTGCAACTGATCAAAAAAGATCATCAATCCTGCGGAGGGGGTATTTGTTCTTGATCGTGACCTTGTTCAGTCTCCTGTAGTCAATAAATAACCTTAACGTCTCTTCCTATTTCATTATAAATGTGACTTCAGCGCCCTAAGAGGAAACACTGTGTCAGATGAACTCATTGTCCTGTAATTTCTTGATATATTTCAACTCTTCTATCTCTATATGACTCATGCAGCAAGGAAAAACTAAGATAGGCTGTGTGTCAGGCTGAAGGTCTATGGTGAACTCAATTTCTCTATCCACTGATAGTCTGAAAAATTCATCAAAAAATACATTCGAAAAGTCTCAGACTACAAGAATCTCTTGAATACAATTTTTTTTCTTAAGTTTGCTCAATGTAGAGAAAACAATCGAGTTAAAGCGTTGTGTAATAAGAAAATTGCTATGAGGGAATCATATTCAAAACTTTTATTAGCTTGTAAATGACTCTTCGTTAGGAGGTTTAAATACAATTTTTCTCATAGAAATAATGTACAGTGGCGTGATACATCACTAACTAGTTCATCCTTAAAAATACATTAGGCTCCCCCGTGTCACTCTCTATCAGGTCAACCATGGGTGAAACTGAGTCCCGTGGAAGAGGGGCCAGATGTTACTGGGGAAGGACCGGGTGACCCTATAGTGGCACCTGGTTGTATGATGGGGTACCATATTATACTATGGCGGTGCTAGATGATCGGTGGAGGGACAGGATTATATCGAGATGACACTAAATCCTCTCGTTATAGGGGTGGCTCGTATTGTAACAGTGGTGGAGGGTCAGATAGCTCCTTCCTCCCTTCCCTGGCCTGTTGGGCAAAGATGAGTCTCACTAACATCTCGAAGAACTGATAGACATGATCTCAAAGCAACCCGTCTTGGACTACCCTGTTCAATAAGGGCCCTCTTCTTCTCATATCCTTGTACCTATTTTTTTTTTTTCATAAAGAGGGGTTGGGTGATGGTTCATATTGGTGTTTTTAAGTATTTGTGTAAGGAATGGTTCTGAGGAACGCGACTCTGATGCCAACTGTAAAATTTGAAACTTAAAAGGAAATAAAGTCATGAATTAAATACGGAAGCGAAATAATAGAGTTTAGAGTTTACATTCCTTACACAATAATTTAGAATGCCCAATAGGGCTACGAGAATGTCCATTCTAAAAGAATAAACAAAAATCAAAGAAATAAACAAAATACAATATAGTAAGCATTTTAGGAGGACCTTCACTAGTTTTTGAAGGAAGTTCAGATGGTGAACTATTCATAATCCTCTTATTGATCGAGATCTGTATCTTGGTCCTTTTGATCTGAAATAGTTAATGCAAGGGTGAGCTACACTAGCTAGTAAGAATATCACACTACTTACTGATATAGAAACTGAAAGTTGGTAAAAATCATAAAAATAATCAATGGAGCTCTTGATTTGAGTAAATTCATTTATTATAAAGAAAACCATTTATTGCATATATTTACTGTCGTGAGTTTTTCAAAATCGACCTATAGAGATAATAACTTGAATAACATCCAAATCTCATATTCAAGTGAGTAAGAACAATAACTTTCCCTTTTTTATTTGTCTACTGATATCCCTAGGCGCCTATAGGGATGTTTCACTACGCGTGAACCAATATATGACATTGTTAACTAACTGGCCGTCCCTATACCCCATTCGGTATGAGCTCCAAAAATACAATTTCTCAATACTCCGTCTGGTATGAGGGTGAATCGAGTCATCCCCATACCCTGTCCGGTATGAACGCCAAAAATACCATTCTTTGATTCTCCGTCTGGTATGAGGGTGAATCGAGTCATCCCCATACCCTGTCCGGTATGAACGCCAAAAATACCATTCTTTGATTCTCCGTCTGGTATGAGGTAACGTTCACGGTAGGATTTCTAATGTACCTGGTCTATCCACCATCTCCTAAGATATCCAGTAAGGCTACCGTTTATTAATTCATGTGACCAAACAATTTTCTGTTTGCATATTAATTTTTAATTTTACAAATCAATCGTAAATTACGCAAGATAAGTAATATATATATATATCAAGGAAGCACAACTGAATCGTTTAACTATTCTATAATATCATTATGTAGTTAAAACTATAAATTCAACAATCAATTACACAGGACAATAAATAAATGACTAACTGGTTTCGGCTCCATTAGTAACCTGTAATTATTCTCAAAGTTTTCTAAATTATACAAAGTACTACATTATCAATGATTAAGTTTCATTGTCATAACAAAGAATAAGGTGAGAGATTCTTACTCAAATCAGTGTCCGAAATACCAAACTTTCTACTGTGTCTACTGACGGTCCCCGGGTTTCCTGAATTTTTTTTACGGAGATTAAAACATGATTCACGTACCTAAAAATACCCCCAAAAATCTAAAATTAGTGTTAAAAATCTTTTTCAGCAAATTTTAAAATTCTGGCATCGCGGCACTGTCGTGCTTCGGTGATGGCAACGTCGCCCGCGGCAACGATTTGCCTCAGCCTGGTCGTTTTTGCATATTTCGACCAGTTTTATACACATCTCTATGAGAAAATATGTTAGGATGCCTTGGTTGGCCGAAAAAGTAAAAAAAAAAAAAAGAAATCTATCGGCAGTGGGATTTTTTGTTGCGGTTGTTCCACCAGCTCACCCTCACAGCTAGACAATTTTCTTTGGTCAACCTGTAGAAAACAGAACGGTGAACACAATAGTGGAAAAATTGCACGAAGCGAAAAACAAGAAGGGGTTCATCGGAGGAGGTTTCAGGTTTTGTTCATGGCGGCACCGCCAGGTGTTACTCGCGATTTTTGGCTCACCCGCTGTTCTTTTTGCTTTGGTTTGACCATGGAGGTGGTCGGAATCAAATTCCGAGCAGATATGAGAATTTTTATCTTTTTTGGCTGTCGGAGGTAGCTTCGGCGCGGTAGCGGTTGGCTCCCTTCTTCGGCGACTGGTTCTTCTTCTCCGATGGGAGGCTGGCGGCTAAGGTTTGGGTTCAGTGTGATGCGAAATATTTATACCAGTCTCGCGTAAATCTAAATCGTTTATTATGTTTGATCTCGACCGTCCGATCGTGTTTAAAGAGGAAATGAATCTGGACTGTTCATCGCGATTTGATTTCGACCGTCCAATCGCGTTTAAAAAAAGAATGAATTTAGATCGTTCATTACGTCTAATCGCGACCGTCCGATCGCGCCTGAGCATGGAACGGATCCGGACCGTCCATGCATGCAGGAACGCTTCTGGACCGACCGATCGCAAGGCATGCGGATCACCAGCGTGGCCTCCTCTATGGCACCGAGTCAGCGTACCTTACTACGCGGTATGCTCCGGTTCGTCAGAGTTGTTGACTGGGCGGTCCTACGTGATGCAATTTTTCTTAAGTGTGTTCTAACAACGAGTTTCTGAATTTTTTTTCAAAAATACCATCCGTACCCAAATTTTTACCTTTTTTTTTTCAAAATTATTTTTAATTTTATCATCAATTTATTTTTTTTCTATAATTTTACATTAAATTCAAATTTATTAATATGAACAAATAATTTTTATATATTTTTTTAAAGCTAAAATTAATTTCGGATCAAATTTCAGACTCAGTTATTACAGGCTATACTAATATGAACAAAATAATTTTTAAGGTTTATACTCATAAATTGGATGAGGAAGAAAAAGGGTGGGTATGGCATTGTTTCTTACTGAATATATATATTTCGGTAACATTCTTTCTGCATCCAAAGAAATTTGGTACCCACGTGAATTAAAGTTAGTTTAATTCTTAATTTAACATCTCCAACATGTCATAATAGTGCTTGTGAAAATAAAAATAACTTCTTTTTATAACAGACAACAGTGCAAATTATGTTTTTAACCAAATTAATTTACTCAGCTCAGTTTTAAATTATAAAAAAGTTAAATATTTATTAAGTTAAGGTAATATTTTTAGTAATAATTTATACCATATAATTAAATATTTACAATACTTTTAGTTAAATATATAATAAAAAAGTAAAAATATTAATATATTCAGTTTTCCAGTCAATTTTAGTTATCAAATTTTGAAATAAAAATATAGAATAAAACCAATTTGGTATGCGATAAAGGCGAATGCACCAACCGCAGACCCAATTCTACTCATCCCTACCTGCTTGTTGCTGCTAAAAATGATCCCTTTTGATGGACTTCTCAAATCTTTACAGGTGATTCCTACCCGTGAAGAAAAGACCAAGTGTAGACCTCAATATTTCAGAACTAATTTCATTGTCATTCTGAACAGCATGAAATGTCAATGGTCCATCAGAAACTTAAATACTAATATGATTAAGCCATAAGCTGCTTCTATTCACCAATGTGAAACTAAGTTACCATGATCAAAACTTTATACCACCAGATTCCTATTGCTAAGAATAATATACAAAATTAGTTAGCGACTGCTGCACAGTCAGTCTCGTTCAGGAGCATCTCCAGAAACTCTTCTTGCGCTGAGGTTCCCAGCATATGACCATATCTTATCATAGTCACCCGCAAATGGTTTTTCTATCTTCCATTCGGGCACCTCTTTAAGACCATTTCTCTTTAAGTTATGATTTTTGGTCGATCTTCCCGGACTTGCTCCAACAGGAGGTGAAGAGCAGAAAGTTGGTGTTGCAAATGGAGAGGCGTAAGGTGAGTGATGGATTGAAAATGGGCTAGGAGACATGCGCTTCTGGATCGGAAGACCACTCAAGCCTCCTCCCTTGCCGAACATGGGGATTGATTCTGCTGCAGCAGATCGCTTGACAGCATCATCCACATAAAGTACATCATCTATCCTAGCCATGATATTGAAGGCCAAGCTCTCCATCACTCTCGAGTAACTTTCTAGAATGGACTGCCCAACATCCTGCAATAATAAGAACAGTTTTAGCATATTTTGATCTGTAATTCCTTGGTCTCCCAATTCAGACTTCTTCTCTGATTCAATAACAATGAATTTTAAGGTGCATACAGTTGCTCATATGAAGAATGTCCAACAACATCAAAGCTTTAGATGGAATTTTCATCTTTATATCTCTCTTCTTAGACAAAAGAAAGTCTTGAAGAAAGAAAATCCTGAGAAGGATATTACAAGTTTATTAAACATAAAACTAGTAACCTTTGATGTTTAAACTAGTGTGATGCTGTAAATTGTTGCTCTACTTGAGAGACACAAGATCAAAGGTCAGTCTCACTTCTCTTCCCATTCCCAAAATCTTTAAAACTTCTGCCCTTCTTACATTATACAAAGCTCAATGGCATGCAAATTCACACACCATGCCTATTGTAAAGGGTTATTCTTCTTCTTCCCTAAAAAAGACATTTGAGATTGACGTACCTTGTTGAATTGAATCTTATTCATATCCAGTGCGGTCTGTGGTAGTCCAGGGAAACGAAGCCTAAGGCTATGTAAGAGGGTCTCAGCTCGCTGGGCCAGAGAATGATTCTTTTCAGAATCAGAAACAAGGCCTTTGACCTTGCCGCTCCATTTGTGCTTAACTTTCTTACGGTTTATGTGTTTTCTTTCATCTTTCAGCTTCCATACATGCACTGCTGCCTCAATCCAATTAGCAATTTCAAGTGTTTGATGTTCTGAGGACAAGTCAAGGCAATCAAGGAGACATTCTGCTGAGAATTGATCAGCAGTTATATAGCGGTAGATGACCTCTCCAAGACATGCTTTTCCACTCTGATGACAATGGGGCAAGAACTTCAATGAGGAGAAATGAGAAGAACTGACAGTTTAACTACACAATCAATAGAGGCAAACACGTCTACACTGCTCTAGATTTCAATAAGAAGTCAGTGAAATGTGTTTCTGTTGACCATTGTTTAACATTTTGAGGGTATCATGTACCAAAAATGCTCAAAGAAATGGTAACTGCCCCTATAGTGCATATTCATTAAAGTTAGTTAGCATATGTGGATTTAGAAACATGACTTCAAGAACTTCGCATGCAATTCAGAATACAAAACCTAAAAATACAGCAGCTAAACACCATCCGGTACCAAGTTACAACTTTAAGTGGGATATAAGGAGAATCATGCAGGCTATCTTTTTGAAGAACAAACTTAGACGATCTACCTATGATCCTACCAGATATGTTGGTAAACCTTATGCATTAACTATCTGTACTCTACAAATATGCGAACATTGCAGCAAATCAATTAGATCATAGACAAAAACAGAAAGCTTTGAACCAACAAATGAACATGTGCAAACTAATTTGATCCCCAGCTGAGTCAAGCACACGCATGATTAAAGAGGAGCAGAACCCCCTACCTTTGGCAGGGTCTCCAAATATGCAGCAGGAATTTCCATCTCCGCAAGAACACTACTATTAATAGCCATGGCCGCCTTTAATATCTGATTTGTGCAATCCTTGCATTGTTGTAGCTTCTTTCTTGCATCCTCTGACAACCCATTTGGTGGCACTTTGGGACATGGCAACCACCACTTTTCTTCCTGTCTGATTGAAGGCCTACCACTAGAAACTATTGGAAGTCCATCCCGATCACGATCACGATCACCATCCCCAACAATTATTCCCCGATCTACATACCAAAACTCGGTATCACAAAACCCATCAAGCATACCAATCAACATCGCATCTAGCTTCTTGAGGGCAGGCAGATTCACGTATAAATCCGACCGTGGCCTTGTCGCCATGACTTCATATGTTCCTCCACCAGGGAACTGTTGTATAGATGGTACAAGCTCAACAATTGAATCACTCACGCATAATAACCATTCCATTTCTCTGCGCCACATGGCCTTCTTTTGTGCTGCTAATGGTTCTAATCTCCACAGTTCTCCAAACACGGTTGCTGCCATTTAAACCGCAATCTAAATTTAGAAACCAAGAAAAATGGGAAATGTACATATACATGCTTTTGCATGCAAATATACACAAATAAAGGAGGGAATACCAACATATATGAATTTAGAAAGAGCTAAGAAAAAGGGCGCGCTAACCGGAGAGATTTGTGATTGCATTTGAGATTGCCAGTGCAGTACAGACTCCTTTTCCACCACCAGACATGTCCTCTCCCAAAAGAAGCTTAGCAAATCTCTCTTTCATCATTTCAACTTCTACAAATTAAAAAAGATAATTTCGGAATCGTAAAAATGGGAATATGGTCAATGAAGCAGTAAACATAAAGATTTCTTTTACCTAGAACAAATTTAGAAAACGGATGTGGCGTCATCAACAAGGTCTGGTATGAGATTTTCAGTTCTTCTTCTTTAGAATTTCAAAGATTCAGTAAAGTTGAGTTTCTACATTTTCGAGCAAGTACTTAAGGAAACACAGGATTATCTTTCTTTAAAAAAATTCTTTACCTAAGCAGTTTTATAGAAGTTAATCACACACCATTAAGCATAAAAGTATGCGTTCTTCATTGTTGAACACCAAAATTGACCCAAAAAGCACAAATCTTCCCAAAAAAAGTTTTAGTTAAAATAAAAATAGTAACAAAATCACTACCTGACAAATCTGTTTCCCGTTTCTCCGGCTTCTCGTCCCAAACCACCACATCTTTCCCTCCTATCACGGGCAGCATCACCGGCGCAGGGAAGCGGAAACCAGCCGTAACGGGCCGTGGAGATGACGTCATGGAACTCGAGGCCCCCTCTCCATCGAAACGCCGGCACGAGAAGCTGCTGCAACTCTCCGACTCGCTAATATCAGCACTGGGGCTATAACTTCCGTACCTCTCGCTCTGCTGGTCAGAGCCGTCCTCCGACGACACACTCCCCATCTAATGAAGATCTGACGACTAAAAACACCTCACGCACACATTCGTTGCTCTGAAAACTAATGTATCAGATCAAAGGATGAAGACCAGCCTCGCGTGCGTGAGAAACAGAGAAGAGAGAGAGAGAGAGAGAGAGAGAGAGAGAGAGAGAGAGATGGGAGAATGCAGAGAAACAAAAGAATGTGGTATGATACTTGCGATGGTTATGATTGATAAAGCAAAAGGGATAAAGCCTCACTCTCTCTTTCTCTGGTTTACTCACATTATACTTTTCAGTTCTCTCTCTATACGTATATGTGTATTTATGGATTCTCTTTCACCTTTATCTCTCTCTCACACTGTCTCATACACACATATACACACTCTCTCCGCAGTTCCAATTTCTACTGATACTGATGATGATGGTGGGGCGAAGAAAAAAAGCGAAAGTGACGCCGTTTGCAGTGGTTTGTCTTTCCGTTGACAAGCTTCGTTAAAGAACCCGACACGGGCCTTTACCCCTGGGCCCACTCGTACCCCTCCTAACTTATTACCATCTTGGCAGTTTCTATGACGTGGATGAATACTAGAGTTTTTGCTAGCACAATGGAAGGGGCCCCACTTGGTTCGAGCCGTTGGATTTTGGAAGGACTTGGGAGGGAATAGTGTGCCAAGGAGACTAAGCGGCGGTTAATTTTTGCCGCGAGGGGGAAGTAAGGAGTTTGCTATGGTGTGGGCGTCCTTAATTTACATGTTGTAGACTCCCTTCCCCAGACGTCTGATTGATGGAATTTTTTAAGTTATCATTTTCGGTTAGGTCAAGTGGAGAGATAATTAATTGCGATCTCAGCCGTCGTCGCAATATTGGGACCCGAGTGAAATGGAGGGTCCAGATCTGATGAAGGGAGTAGAATCCTCTAGCGGCCAAAAGCCTGTCATTGTGTGGAGAAGAAGCATTTATTGTCGTATATTGCAATCGTACGGCGGATAATACGTTATCCACGTTTCTCCGGTATTGCCCGATTGGTGCAAAGACTTTTGTATATAACATAATACGTGTCAGTTAATGATTGGATAATTTTTTCGAAACAGATTATATTTCCGTCTGAATAATAATGGGATGATATAATAATGGGGGGTTAGAATTGAATAGTGAAGTGAATGATGAGCAATAAAAGCATTTAAGTAGTGCTTTGTTGACGAGAGGTCACAATCATCTTGTTGAAATAAATCAGAGCCGTCGAAATGGGACCCGCAAGGTGCGTGATTGATGAGGGAAGGGAAGACTACGATAGAGTTCCACGCACGTGATCCAACCTGCAGCTGCAAAACAATAGGGTGGCTTGTCGGGTCCCCAACAAATGATAGCCTTTGTGTTGAAGGCAAACAAAGAAAAAGGAAGTTTGTTGCGCATTTCCTACATGGGAAATTTTTAGGTAGGATAGATTAATCACAAATCAATTGAATCCAGGCCGTTGATGTGCGGGGACCACTAAAAAGAATGAGATTAAAATTTTAATTGAAGAACAGATATTAGTAATTTACTTGTGTAAAAATAAAAATAAAAGGGCTTTGCAATCCCGAGGAAGTTATTATTGTTTTAGTGATGGATGAGGGAGATCCGGTACGTTGATGCGAACTTTCCCACCTCTTGTAGAGTTGTAGCCAAGATGGGTGGGGATGTGCTCCCACAATGGCTGATGATTACACCGTTCATGCTCGTGAGATAAAGAAAGTCCAGGACAAATAAAAAAAGAAAAAAAAAAAAAAAGGAAAAGCATGTCTGGATTAGTACTATGTAACGAATAAATGTTAAAAAAATATAAATTATTATTTTAATGGGTGTATAAAACATTTTTCCATATATAAAATAAGTTGCATGTGAAATTTTAATGGGTCTACCAGTGAGTTTAGGTGCAAATGAACATTTTTGGGCCTGCCCTCTTTCGGGGCACATATATGTGAATTTTATGGCCCATTTGTAGCTAACTGGGCCTTCATACACTGTTGCCGGGATAAATGGTCACAATTCTTTAATATATAATATTTAATTTATTATTATTATAACATTAACATATCAATAGATTAAGTTATTCATATTTTTAATTTTTTAAACATTTGTTTGAAATTCACTATACTTTTATAATCATAATTTATTTTCAGATATCAAAATTATAAAAATGTTTAATTTTAAGCAAACACAAATTCGATTAAACTAAATTTCAAATCTAAATTCCTGTAATTTTTTTTTTTAATTTGTTTGTCATACTTTAATTTTTTTTTTAAATTGTATATTATATTTTTTATTATATACCAAGAAAGTAATATATGGTGTAACTCATCCGACTTGTTCTTTCGGTTAGCAACCTCGGGAGTCTGCAGCAAGTTGATATATTCTCTCGAGAAAGACAGAAGACTGGAGTTCATATATCATCAGGGCTTCAACTCAGGCTGTATAATTACCAGGCAGACAAAATTATCGACAATCTTTTGATCGCAACCAGCAAAAATGCCGAAGAAGATGGGAGTAAACAGCAAAGCTGAGGCCGCTAGGGAGCGGAAGAGCGCTGTCGAAGCCGAGCGCAAGGCGCGGGAGGCTCGCGACAAGGAAGACCAGTACTGGCGTGAAGCCGAGGGCAACAGATCCAAAGCCACCAAGAAACGAGAGGAAGAAGCGGAGAAGAAGGCTGAGTCCGCCGCGCGCCGCGCTGAGGCTCGTCGGTTGGCAGAGATGGAGGAGAAGGAGATCGAGAAATCCATGAAGAAGCCCGACAAGAAGGCGAACCGCGTGTCGATCCCCGTTCCAAAGGTAACCGAGGCGGAGCTGAGGAAGCGCCGGGAGGAGGAGCAAGCCGCCCTTGCCGCTAAAGCCGAGGAGGCAAAGCGGCGCCAGAACCGCATGGCCGCCGAGGAAGAGTACGAGAAGATGGTTGTCGTCACCAATACGAATCGGGACGATTCGATTCTCGAGGCGAGGAGCGTAGAGGAGGCGATTGCGCGGATGAGCGTGGCGGATACCCTGCCTGCTGATAAGCATCCGGAACGGCGCCTCAAGGCGTCGTTTAAGGTGATTTCGAGTGTCCTTGGCCATAAACTCTTCGAACTTCTTTTAATCTTTGTTTCTTTGAATTAGCACCTCATATTATAGGATTTCTGGAATTTGGCGATAAACTTGAAGTTCTTTGCATACATAATTCTATTGGGAGTGTGAATTGATTGTCGATTCACAGTTTGTTACATGGTTGTTTCTTCAAGGGTGCCTTAGTGATCGTTGCCTGTTTCTACATATTTCTAGGTCGACATGTGTGTTTCAGCGCCTGGGAAAGCAATAAGAAATACTGCGAGTCGTTTTTCTTGGGAAAGTTAGGGGCATTGGGCCCTTGAGTGTGGTGAAGTGTGGGAGATTGATGGCTAGAAATGAAGTATGTTCATGAATGAAGCCATTGGTATCATATTATTGGATAAGGCTCACACTATTGGGTGACAAGTCTAAGGCTATTGTTGGGACAATAAACTTGATCTGTGGAATTCATTTGTAGATTTAAATTTATCTAATGAAGAGACGATGGAAAATCCTTCATAAAATGGTAAAAACTCAGTTTACAGAGAATTCTAAATGGAATTGAAACAATAACTGCCAAGTTTCTTTAGTTTTGGTCGAATTTGGAGTATCTTGGTTTAATTTTACTTGAACGTTTGTAGGATGTGAAATTTTATGGAAGGTTTAATTCGTCCTAATGTGGACTACTAAATAATTCTACAACTACAGCATATTGTTTCACATGTAGACAGTGTTACATCCTCGAATGGTAAGGTATCATGACGTGTGTCACTTCCTTTTGTATCCATTTTCCCAGTTGGACCATGTAGTTGCAATCGCGATTATTTTCTTGCTCCTTATACAAAATTAAGGCGAGAAAGTGTCAGCACTTGCCACCCAAGATGTGCAGGTGCAGAGCAAGGGCAGGGTAGCTAGTTAGAAAGTAGTTTAGAAGTTGTCTTCATGTTTATGTATGTGTAGATCATAGATGTTTTTGGTTGAACTTTCTTCTTAAGTGTTAAATCTTTTATATGACATGTAAATTTGTTCTTAGAGAGATGTTTTATATGGTTTATGGTATTGGAAATAATTCCATTTTTAATGCTCTAATGCTATATGGTGTGACTGCAATTCTGTTGCATCTTATTTGACCACTGGGACAGCAGGTCTCAATTTTTCTAGCTTACCTTAATTCTTATAACCAGCCACTCAAAGAGTTCTCTCTATTGCGGATTGTGTCTCTTCTTTCCCTTTTAGTGCTGTTTGTGCATTGAACTCTTATGAACATATGTAGGCTTTTGAAGAAGCTGAGCTACCCAGGCTGAAGGAAGAGAAACCTGGCCTTACTCACAACCAGTACAAGGACATGATTTGGAAACTGTGGAAAAAATCTCCAGATAATCCATTAAATCAGGTAGGCAGAACTTGCCTCAGTTTTCATCAGTTTTCAGAAATGGTTTCTGAGAAAATTCAAATTTCATGCTGCATTTGAGATACTTGCATTATGAATGCAATACTTTGGCTATATCAGTCAACAAGATATTATTTCCTAATCAAGATGTAATGGTCTGATATACTATTTCGTGTATGTGCAGGTTGCTGAATGAACGCTGCTACATATTCAAACTAGAAACCAAGCAAAGTCTTTTGGGAAATATTGTTGAAAATTGCTGCAGTTTCATGTTTCTTGGCGCACTTAATGTTCGAAAACATAAATGCAGTGGACGGTATACTGTTTATGGCATAGGCTTAGCTCAATAAAACCTAAATGGATCAGCCACATAATTTTTGTGTCCATCTAAGTCCTGTGTATCGCATCCTTTATTTATTATTTTGCTTGAAAGGCATGAAAAACACTCTTATGTACATGGAAGGAGTTACCCTTGGCATGATATAAAGCATTGGCGGGTAGGTTTCTGTGTTTTCCATGAAAAACTTTT